ATTTTTTGTGTTTGAATTTGAGAGAAATAATTATTATTAAGTATGTTATAGTTTTTGTTAAGTATGTTACTATTTTTGTTGAACATGTTATTGTTGTTATTTTTTAAAAATATTAATATTGAATGTTTCAATTTTTTTTTGTTTAATTGTTACTATTTTTTTATGTTTAAATGTATAATTTTTTTTGTCCAAATAATAAATTTTTTTTATTTGAATGTTAATTTTTTTTATTTTTAATATATATATAAGAGAAAATTTTTTAATATTAGTCAAACTCTTAACCTATAAATGGAAATAGATAGATATGAGAGAGAAAATATTTTAATATTAGTCAAACTCCTAAAAGGAATGGATAGTTTGGTAAAATTGACAAAAAATGGATTTCATAACAAATAAGTTTCTTTAGCGGACTTAAGTCCAAACAAGTCCATATAGGGGGACCGGCCTCCAAATTTCCCTTTTTTTTAATTTTTAATTTTTTAGTTTTTTTGAGTTCTAGTAGATAAGATCAAAAATTTTAGAGCCCAAAATTTTAAGAGCTGAATAAATATTTAGCTTTGTTAAGTTTAAAATGACTCATCACTTGGTTAAACCCAACAAAAGCTCTAAAATATATAATCCAATTCAGCAACTCCAAGTGTCTAAGTCTCCTCAACGTCTCTCTAATTATATCAACCATAAAGTAGAGTTGTTTTACTTGAAAATTAGTGTTTAATCATTAAAATGTCTATTCGAAAATATGACTCGAGGTATGAAAAAAAAAAAAAAGAATTCAATCTCAGAAAAGGGCACATCATAAATTTATTATCAGTGATAAACAAAACATAAGTAAAAGTGGAAGTGATGATTTAATTAGTGACAAACCAAATTATACAATAGAAATAGAAGAACCTGAAAAAGATTCAAAAGAAACTTTTAAGCTTTTAGATGAAGATAATTTGCAAAAATATTTTCTTATGCTCCAAACTTTTCTAAGACATGATGTATCTACGGATATTGATGACTTAAATTTACTTTTAGAATGAAAAATTTTAAAAGAAGTTTTAAAAACTGAAATTAACATTCTAATTAAAATATTAGACTACATAAAAAAATTAGATTCTTTTTTAAATACATGCATTGTTTATAGAAATTTTGTTAACTTCAGTGGAAATGAGTTTTTCAAAACTTAAATTAATAAAATCTTATTTATGATTAACTATGTCACAATAAAGTTTGAATGGATTAACTATACTATCTATCGAGAAAGATTTACTATCAAAACTTGAATAAAGAACTTGATCAATATTTTTGAATCTCAAAAAGTAAGTAAAATAATTTAAAAATAATTTAAAAAGTAAATTATAATAATTAAAAATAATGTATATATTAATACATGAAATATTAATAGGGCTTGTTTAAAGTTTTCACCTAGGACCCCCATTTATGTTGGACCGTCCTGGGTACTACCCTAATGTGGAAGGCTTCACAAGTCTCAAAATTGTCGGTATCGTAAGTAAAGGTTTCTTGGGTATTTTATTGTGGTGTTTTGGTTAACCCTAATGCTTGGAGGGTGTATTTATTTACGTATAGCTGCCAAAACAGGGTGCTAATTAAACCCACTGGATTGTGTGTGTTCCTTTATAAGAAAGACAGCCCCTAAGGCATAGAGTTCTACTAATGCAACAAGTCCTCATACATAAGGAAATCTGGAAGAAGCTATAAAATAAGAAGACATGATTGTGCTGAATGCTAGAGCCAACCACATTGAAAATGAGCGAGGCCAAACACTCCAATCTCTTGAAAGAAGTGACAACTATCGTGTAGATATAGTCCGGGGCACGCCTTCCTATTCGCCTAGTACCCCAGTGAGTCACATGAGAATGTATAATAGTTGGAAAGGCTCCAATTCTTGAAGTTCACTTATTGGCCGCCTTCTTTCTCTTTCCTCACTTTCCTAGTGCTCCAAATGGTTGGTGTCTTCCAGCTTAAAGATAGGGAGGGATCCAACTGTTGGTGGTTGCACTGAAAACAAAATCAAAGCAGATCTTCAAGCCCTATCTCTGATCCCTTAATGTATTGTAATAAAAGTGTATTTACTAAAAACAAGAAACAAGTAGCCCCACTTGCACACATTCAAACAAATATCATGTAGCGGATTCACAACATGAGTGATAATCCAGTAATGTCGTTTTATTTTTGAGACATGTCATTTTAGCTTCCTATGATGTCCACTTCGTGTTCAAATCGCGATGCGTAAAACCCTGAGCTTAAATCTCCAAAACGATGGCCTCTTTTCTTTAACAAAATTCTATTATGCATAAATCCCCATAAATTAAACAAAATGTAAATACAAGTTTGATCCCCTAAAGTATGCAACAATTATCATTTTGGTTCATAAAACATAAACTTTGCTAGCTACATCCTTAATACTTCAATATTTATGTTTGAGAATTAAATTCACATTTCGATTAAATAAGACAAGAAAGAAGTACCCCCGCCTGTAAACAACTGCCGTGTAGATATATAAACATCCACATATAGTTGCTATGAATGTACTTTAGGGATAATACAGATGTTTAGGGGAGATTGCGGTTATGGATGGATTCACATTGGGGGTTGCAGTCCAACCGTGTCATACAAGTTCTGAGTTTGTCTTATATTTATTGGTGTTTTATGTTATAATAACGTCCACATATATAAATTGTCAAATCGAAGTCTTAATAAAATAAGTTGGGTTAGTATAAAACATGACTAACTCGACCGTGTCATGTGAGTTTTGTGTTCAGATTTTCACTTGATCCGTACTCTAACAAAATCATATCCAAAACCATTTAATTTTATGACAATTCACATATCCTGGCTGAAATGGAATAAGAAAATTTGGACATTTCTTCATACACTATTAGTTAAACAAGTTTGTCCTGTCAAAACCTAGTTATTCATTTTTCACAATAAGCCAAATCCTTTATTAATCATGTTAGCGAATATTTCATTTAAGGCGCATGTCTTGTTAAATTCAAGTCGTGTAATGGACCACTGAAAATTAGCACCCTTCATTCACATCAACCTTGTTAAACCTTTCTACCAACTAGTCATCCGTTTAGCTTAGGAATCTTGTAAACTAATGCATAATGTAACTTTAATTAGGAACTATACCACGAAAACCCCACTCACATTGGACTTTTTAAATTGCAATCAGACTACTTGCAAAGAATGGAGCCCTTGGCCGGATATCTCAAAAAAAGAAACAAAAAAAATAATATAAAAAAAGTGAACATTGGATTCGATAGAGACTGGGATCGAGCAAGATTTTGATTAGAGGAAGATTAATGATAAGTATCTTATCATGTTCTTAGAAGGAATATAAAATCTGATTATAAATAGTGGAAAGCAAATGACACATTGGCAAAAAAGGTTGATGGCGTTGTTTGGATGATTGTTTTTTTCTGAATGTGGCTTGCAAGTTATATTCAACATGACTGGGCATGAGCCACAGTTTCTTCTCCACTTGCCTAGCTTCATATGGGAAAGAGTAATAGAGAACCAATTAAGAGTTCAGAACAACCGGAGTCCCTGTGAATTAACTCTTGTTTTTAATCTCATAAGAATCGAGGAGAACCCTAGATTGGTGGTCCAAGCTATGGGACCACCAGCTGGGTGGGTCATACATGTTTATTATTAATGAATTCAGATGATAACTAGTGTGATCTGTCAAACTTGCTTGCCCAATTGATTGGCACAAATCCGACTAGAAAAACATCAAATGATGCGACCCCAATATGATATAACAAGATGATCCCTAACCATAGATGAGTTATTTATGAAGTGAGTAAATTTTAACAAAACACGACTTATAAATTATACAAATCTAACACGATATAATTAATTGTTCGCTCTAAAATATCTAACAAAAAAACTATAAAAACTTAGCTGACCAATCTGACTTTTACGTCAAGTAATCTTCAAACTATCTTAACAAAGCAGTAAAATTGAGAGCGAAGGCACCATTTAGTTGGGAATAAAATGGAGGGAAACTCAACTAGGTCTTGTTTTGGTCAATATTGGAGAGGTGACTCAACGACCAACCTTCAGGTCACAAGTGGGAAGACTCACCATAGGATTAAAGTCCAACTCAACTAGGGTTCAAAAAGGCAAAACAGCAAAAAAGAAAATTTATCCATGTATTTCTTGTATTTACCACCTCATCTTGGACAAGTGGCACTCAAGCATCATGGTTCATATCTATATAATAAAATAGGACTATGTTTGAATTTTATGTCAGTCATATTTTTTCCCTTAAAACCATCACCAATCACTTACCTCACCTATTTTCCTTTTGTCAGACTCAAACGTTAAATCACATCACTTATTTTTATCATATGTTTAATTATTTATAAATTTTTTTCTTAAAAATATCACATCACTCATTTCTATTATTTAATATTTGATTAATTTGTAGTTAATATATTTTGAAAAAAAATTAATATAATGAAATTGATTTTTTGAATGCTTAAATTTTATATTTTATCGTGTCTTTAGGCACGAGTTATGACTATAATAAGATATGGTTCACGGAGGAAAATGCCACGTGGGTTGGGTCCATTTCGATTGCAAAAACCATTAAACTACAAAAGGCTTAGTGGAAGATCCAATTTTTGAAGGATTGATGATTAAAATATTAGAATAGATGAAAAATATTATTTGTACATAATTTGGGGATTTAATTTAATTCAATACAATTATTAGATTGAAAGTGAATTTTTTCTAACATTAAAATTGACAACTAATTCAATAATTGCATTAGATTAAATCCAAATTAAATTTCTAAATTAAGGCCTATAACATGGCTCCTTCAAGATTGGCTTAAAGCCCTCAAATATTCTCAAAAAATTATGCTGTTATTATAATCCCAAAAAATGATATACATCCTTTTAGCTTTTCCCACTATATATTCCCTGTATCAACCACCTACAAGAACCCCAATCAAAAACACTTTATTCTCTCTATCTCTCTCCAACATGCATTCTGCTTCTGCCTCTTCAACTCACCTCTTCCAGCAATCTCATGCACACTTCTACTCAAGAAGATTGCTACTAAAAAGTCGTCTTAACCAATTTCAAGCAACAGCAACTCCTCCATCAAGTGGAAATAGCAACAGTACCATATCAGATCCTTACCCTAACAGTTTTGAGGCCAATGTTGTAATGGGACTCTCTGTGCTTTTATGTGCCATGATTTGCTCACTGTTGTTGACTTATATCATCAGGTGTGCATTGAAGTGCTCGGGTTTAATATCGGGCCAGACCAGTGACAGGCCCACGGGCCGATTAGCAAACACGGGGATCAAGAAGAAGGTCCTGAATACTTTTCCTGTGGTAAGCTATTCGGCTTATCAGGTGAAGCAACCGGGCTTCGACACTGTTTGTGTGATATGTTTGTCGGAATTTTCTTCCGGTGAGCTCGTTCGAGTCCTTCCCAAGTGCAACCATGGCTTTCATGTCCTGTGTATTGATAGATGGCTTAATATACACTCCTCATGCCCTACTTGTAGGCACTGTTTGGTGGAGACATGTCAGAAGATTGTGGGCTCTAGCCAGGCTAGTACATCAGAGCCCCAGTCACCGCCACCGACACCACCACAGTCACCGTCACCGTCATCGCCGGAAAGCGTAATGAGGATTGGTCCACTAGAGCCTGAAGGTCTGTTACGAAAATGCCAAACATAACTTTAGTCGGCCGGATTGCTCCACTAGAGCCTCAGTGCGCCATTGACTTATTCCAGCTTGTTCTTGGTGGAGAATTTGAACTACCATGACTCGCTGGTCACTTACTCAGTTGTTGACAATCATGTGGCCAAGTGGGATTTTGTAAATATCTTTATATTGTACTCCAATTCCCACTCAATCCAACATCAAATCCTTGGGATTTTAACCAAAAAAATTTGAACAATACTATACAAACATAATTCANATATATAGTAACATTAAAAATAAAAAATAGTAACATTCAAATACAAAAAAAAAATTTCTATGAATTTGAATAGTAAAATTCAAATTCATATTACTATTTTTTTTATTATATTACTGTTCATGTTATTATTATTTTTGAGCATGTTACTATTTTTGTTAAGCATATTACCACTCTTATTTTCCTAAATATTAATATTCAATATTACTATTTTTTTTTTTGAATATTACTATTTTTTGTATTTGAATGGTACTAGTTTTTGTGTTTGAATTTGAGAGAAATAATTATTATTAAGTATGTTATAGTTTTTGTTAAGTATGTTACTATTTTTGTTGAACATGTTATTGTTGTTATTTTTTAAAAATATTAATATTGAATGTTTCAATTTTTTTTTGTTTAATTGTTACTATTTTTTTATGTTTAAATGTATAATTTTTTGTGTCCAAATAATAAATTTTTTTTATTTGAATGTTAATATTTTTTATTTTTAATATATATATAAGAGAAAAATTTTTAATATTAGTCAAACTCTTAACCTATAAATAGAAATAGATAGATATGAGAGAGAAAATATTTTAATATTAGTCAAACTCCTAAAGGGAATGGATAGTTTGGTAAAATTGACAAAAAATGAATTTCATAACATATAAGTTTCTTTAACGGACTTAAGTCCAAACAAGTCTATATAGGGGGACCGGCCTCCAAATTTCTTTTTTTTTTATTTTTTATTTTTTATTTTTTAGTTTTTTTGAGTTCTAGTAGATAAGATCAAAAATTTTAGAGCCCAAAATTTTAAGAGCTCAATAAATATTTAGCTTTCTTAAGTTTAAAATGACTCATCACTTGGTTAAACCCAACAAAAGCTCTAAAATATATAATCCAATTCAGCAACTCCAAGTGTCTAAGTCTCCTCAACGTCTCTCTAATTATATCAACCATAAAGTAGAGTTGTTTTACTTGAAAATTAGTGTTTAATCATTAAAATGTCTATTCGAAAATATGACTCGAGGTATGAAAAAAAAAAAAGAATTCAATCTCAGAAAAGGGCACATCATAAATTTATTATCAGTGATAAACAAAACATAAGTAAAAGTGGAAGTGATGATTTAATTAGTGACAAACCAAATTATACAATAGAAATAGAAGAACCTGAAAAAGATTCAAAAGAAACTTTTAAGCTTTTAGATGAAGATAATTTGCAAAAATATTTTCTTATGCTCCAAACTTCTCTAAGACATGATGTATCTACGGATATTGATGACTTAAATTTACTTTTAGAATGAAAAATTTTAAAAGAAGTTTTAAAAACTGAAATTAACATTCTAATTAAAATATTAGACTACATAAAAAAATTAGATTCTTTTTTAAATACATGCATTGTTTATAGAAATTTTGTTAACTTCAGTGGAAATGAGTTTTTCAAAACTTAAATTAATAAAATCTTATTTATGATTAACTATGTCACAATAAAGTTTGAATGGATTAACTATACTATCTATCGAGAAAGATTTACTATCAAAACTTGAATAAAGAACTTGATCAATATTTTTGAATCTCAAAAAGTAAGTAAAATAATTTAAAAATAATTTAAAAAGTAAATTATAATAATTAAAAATAATATATATATTAATACATGAAATATTAATAGGGCTTGTTTAAAGTTTTCACCTAGGACCCCCATTTATGTTGGACCGTCCTGGGTACTACCCTAATGTGGAAGGCTTCACAAGTCTCAAAATTGTCGGTATCGTAAGTAAAGGTTTCTTGGGTATTTTATTGTGGTGTTTTGGTTAACCCTAATGCTTGGAGGGTGTATTTATTTACGTATAGCTGCCAAAACAGGGTGCTAATTAAACCCACTGGATTGTGTGTGTTCCTTTATAAGAAAGACAGCCCCTAAAGCATAGAGTTCTACTAATGCAACAAGTCCTCATACATAAGGAAATCTGGAAGAAGCTATAAAATAAGAAGACATGATTGTGCTGAATGCTAGAGCCAACCACATTGAAAATGAGCGAGGCCAAACACTCCAATCTCTTGAAAGAAGTGACAACTATCGTGTAGATATAGTCCGGGGCACGCCTTCCTATTCGCCTAGT